ACGTCAATACTCAACTGTCCGAATGTAATAATGGACTACATTGAATTATTCAGTGAGGAACTTGCTTCTTTTCACTTCCAGAAAGCCCCGGGAAATAACCTTGACAACTCGGGTCGATTATTAGAATCATGGCGGCCAATTTTCCTGTGCCTTTCTCTATCCTGGAGGCAATAGTATCCATTTGACCGCAGCATATTGAAGTATGTGTCGATGTGACGAGCTTTATTTCCTTTTCTTCCCACCCATACTCTAAAACTGTCGATCATTTTGATTGGCAACCGTTCATCTAGAGTAAAGCTTCCAGATTTGTAAGTGTCGTCTGCTTGTTTCAAATGTGATATAAGAATAGGGTAAGTGGCCTGACGCCATATTTACTTTCAAATGATAATCTCCTGGAGGTTTTATTTTGCAACATCTAGGCAACACGATTACAAGTCTGGCATAGGGCCATGGAAATAGTGTAATAAATGGGAATAGAAATTAGTATTGTCGTAATTGTCTTGAAAAGATTTTAACTACATTATTTACATTATTCGGACTATTGTCCTCATCTTTGTCACCATATTTATTACAACGTCCTCCTTGTCCTCAAGGACACATGGCACAGTGGATAAAGGCGTTAGTTAGATCTAGTGACAACACCCAAAGAGTGTGAGTTCAATACCCGGTTAAAGCAGTGGAGAACTTTCAGAAAGAAATTAACTGGAGATAACTGATAACTGACATACATTAAACATGGCACGTGGAACTAGAACAGTCTACCCCAGTGAGCGAAATAAAGGGTTCAGTTCGTCATTCCAACCACCTGAAGGCCGAAATCTTGTAATAAATATGGCGACAAAGATGAGTACAATAGACCGAATAATGTAAATAATGTACATAATACCTCATCTCAGAAATATACACAGATTTTAACTATCCATTTACGATTGGCGCCTTAAGATTTTACATGAAGGCATTAAAAACGCATATGTTAAAAGTATATGTAGAGCTGGCAATTCGAGGATACCCATCTACTAGGGCGCCTAGCCAATCCCTATTGCAGACGCTTGCTCAGGCGCATTTGCGTTTATTCAACACCCAGAGAGCCCACCTGTGGTTTATACTGCAACTATGCTGAGCAGACCGTAGTTACAGTTTCTGGGAGAGATCGTGTTATCCCACGTGATCAACAATTTGAACAAGGCCATCACGCTCAGGCCCTCGGCCACGATGACTTGTGACAGCTATCGACGGCCCCCAATAGTTTCATCTACTCAATTACGTTCACAAGCCTTGGGTCAACCCGTGATATGTTTTCAGGCACTTTCCAAATGTGCCGCACACTGGGATCGACCCCTCCAGTGTGATAACATCAAGAAATCACCTTCCTGACAAATCGACCATCGGTGAGATTCGAAACCGGGTCTCATGGTCAGAATGTAAACGTTCTAACCATATTTAGATATATGTAAAAATGTATAAAGCAAAATGGTGGAAGATAAAAAATATACTTACTGTAAAGTGGGAGACCGAAGAATCTAAAAACAAAAAGAAATAACGAATGAAAAGAGAGAAAAAAAAAAAGATAATCATTCAGGCAATATTCTTTCTTATTGTGTATTTTCTCAACGAAAAATAAAATACATTTTTCTCATCATGTCTCTATTATATCTAACGGAAGAATAATATAAATTATTATTATCATCATCGTGTGTGATATCATCTTTGCCAGAGAATATTTTTCTCATTATCAAGTCCCCTCCGGGGTCTATTTGTAAAAATAGCACTGTAGGAGAGTTATCTGTGTACATCATTATTATCATTATTATCATTATTATCATTAGTAGTAGTAGTAGGGGTAGTAGTGCTATTTTGTCTTAATTAAATTTATTTAATCGCTATACGAAACCTACATTCTGTAAGAAGCTGAGATAGACTAACATTTTCTACTATATTTTTCTCGAGGAGCTGTGATACTGCGAAACAGTCTGTCTGTGGATGACTATACAGTGTAACCCGGATGTAAGAGAGTTGTCGGGACCGGAGAAGAAGTCTCTTATATCCGGGTTTCTCTTATATCCGGGTTTGGTCTAATTTATATACATTAACACAGGCTCTAATTTGGGACCAGAGAAAATCTCACTTATATCCGGGTTTCTCTTATATCCGGGTCTCTTATATCCGGGTTACACTGTATATGCTCCCTGAAATCCGATTGAGCTCTCGAGAGGAAGGATGTTCTAAAAACATCGGCTCCTACTGCTATTAAGCATTACTCTTCAAGTATGAATTCTACGAGCCGCTGGCGTATTTCGTCTAGAAAAAAAAACGGTAAAATTCCCTTCCTTCCTTCTTTTCTGCATTGCGACGATGGGTCCTGTGGATAAAGGCGTTAGTTAGATCCAGTAACAGGGCCCATAGAGCTGTGAGTTCGATACCTAGTTAAGGCGGTGGAGAACTTGTAGAAAGGAATTAACAGGAGATAGCTGATAACTGACATCCATTAGACATGGCACGTGGAACGAGAGCAGTCTACTCCAGTGAGCGAAATAAACGGTTCAGTTCGACAATCCAACCACCTGAAGTAGGCCAGAGCATACAACGGCCGAAACGTTGTGATAAATATGGCAACAGAGATAAGGACAATAGCCCGGATAATGTAAATAGTGTATTAAATCTACCATCATCATGTCAAACGCGTCAACACAGCTACTGTCGGTTAAAAATACCTATCTGCGATTGTTATGATGTTGATTTGGGGTTAGTAGAGACAAACGCCAAATAACGCGTAAGAATAAAAAGGGTTTTAATAGGTTGGTAAAAAGGTACAGAAATCGCATGAGTAGTCAATAACTAGCTCAGCTAAGAACTTCTCTGTCTATCTGTCTCAGTATTTATCGATCCACCCACGAGGATTGAATATGGCACAAAGGCCGGTTTTAATGGGTATCTCCGAGCCCGTAGGCTCGGCAAAAATATAGCCTTTGAACCCGCCTAGACGGGTTCAGGCCCTGTCTACCTCCCCGGACGAAACCTTTCCCTTCGGCAAAGCTTCGTCCGAGTTCCTCTCTACTAACGCAGAGAGTTCGACAGACGTCGCTTACAGTCAAAGACTGTATCACGACTCAGCTAGACTCGGAGGTCTATCTGTCGCTTTCCATGTCAACTGACATGCTACTATTTAAAGTCATTGTTCGCAGAGAAGTTCATCTTCAAGAGGGGTGGTAGGTTTCCGACACAACAGCGATATTTTTTAACTTAAAATAAATAATATTTGTTTGAAATCAGATTAATTTTACTTTAAATCAGCTAATATTGTTCAAAAAATGTTTCAGAAAAGCATATTTTATTTTTGGAAGATTTCTTAATAAAGAGATTTACATAGCAATGAAAGACAACTAAAGGAGGCCGGTGATCATCTATTTTAGAAAAAAAAAAAAAAAAAATAGAAAATTCTTTCCAGATAATTTAAATTACACTTTGAAATACAGAAAAGTATTTTGCTAATAAGAAATATTATAAAATATTATATTTAATACATTAGATTGAAATTAAAACTAAAATAAAAGTTTCAAGGAAGATTTTTCATTTTTAAAAATTCATTTGAAACCTTAGGTATGGCGTTTTTTTTTTCTTTTTTTTTTTTTGTGGCGGTCCCTATATAACAGGAAATATATTCTTAGAAGGCAACTGGAAATGCAGGAAGTATCGAGAAAGCCTGGGATCGCAAGTGGGGGTGTGTGTGATCTGGCACGCTGAGAACCAAAAAATCCATCATCATCATCATCATCTTCTTCTTCTTCTTCTTCTTCTTCTTCTTCTTCTTCTTTTAGGCACCTCTACCTTTTATAATTCCTTTTGTCTTTGGTCATCTTCTCGTTTCACGTGAAGTCACTTTCTTTTTTGTCGATATTTTTTTTTTTTCAAATCAAAAAAAAAAAAAATTCCGAATCCTTGGCGAAATCATAGAACCATGATGAGCGACAAAGCGGCAAATCCAATTAATGATAGAACGGGTGCTTTATCTCTTTGTACTTCATAGATTCTCTTTGCAATATTCACCCCCATCCCCAACCCTTACATTTCTGAGTCAGGCAAGTGAAAGAAAGACTGCTGAGAGACCAGTCAGACAGTCAGCATCAGAAAATACAGCCACTTCTCATTTAACGAGCGGGCACCGTTCAAACGTCCTGATCACTTTTTCTCTCTATGTGCCGTGTGCTTTCAGGACGTAGGCGGTCGTGGCTCTCGCCACCTTCCTCAATCCCTTGCAGCTCTCAACCATTTCCTTCCCTCTGCCACCTCCCCCAGACCACGTTCTGTCATCCACTTGCTTTAGGCCTCCAGGTATGTCATGCATTATTTTCCTTTGTCTCTTTTTCCCTCTATACGACCAGTGAGTATTAGATTCTTCAGGCCTTCCTTCCTCATTATGTGTCCCAGGAACTTCAGCTGCTTCTTCCTGATGTCAAGTATAAGCCCCCTTCTTGTTTGCAACCTCTCTAAAACTTCATCATTGCTCACACACTCTGTCCATGATATCCTTAGCATCCTTCTGTAGAACCACATCTCCATCACCTCGAGTCTTCTCTTCATCTTTGAGGAAATCGTCCAACATTCGATGCCGTACGAACTATTAGACATGAGAAGTTGTCTTAACCTTAATTTACACATCCCGTTCCTTCAGGGCATGAACTATCACGGCTCTCCACAACTTCCTGAATGTTGTATGTAGCTCTTAGCAATTTTTACTCTCTAATTGATTTGTTTTTTTTTATGGCTTATCAATATTTTGAATTTTATTTAAAGCCACAAAATATTTTTTAGATTGTAAGAATTTTTTGTAGATAAATATGATTTACTGATACACGTCCTACTAATTAACCCATAGCTGGGGGAAGAAGTGTATTCATACATTGCGCGTAAGTGAATGTAACGAACCCGACTGGAATTGGAACTCGGCTTTCCAATTTCCAATTTCGAGCCGTTATCCATTACCCCACCCGCACATCCAATTTTACAGCAGCTGATATTTCCAAGCAGCCAACCCTCTCGGTACTAACCAAACTCGACGTTGCTTAACATCAATGATCGTACGGGAACAGGTGTTTTAACGTGATATGGCCATAAGCCCTCCTACTCTGAGCTGCCAACCATTTACACAAAGTTAAGTATGTTACTCATGGTGTCCCTCATGGCTCTCTTGCCTTCAGTACGTCCTGTGAATATCAAATTCTCCAAGCCCTCTTTTCTCATTATGTGTCCGAAAGATCTCAACTGTCTCTTTCCTATTGTAAGTATACGTGTCCTTTTTGTTTCCATATTCCTTAAAACCACCTCGCGATTCACATGAGACATCTGTGGTATCTCGGCATTATTTTGTAGAACTACGTCTTTATTGCCTAAAGTCTGTGATGAAAGGGTCCAGCATTTACTACCATATAGAAGGATTGATATAACATAGAACTTCGGCACTCTTTTCAATGTTTCTAATGAACATTTCCTGTTTCTAATATTTTGCTTAGCTTTTGGAAGGCATCTTCGGATTTCGTTGTAAAATTTTCCGTCATTTGTTAAAACACTTCCCAGATTTTTTCTACTTGCTTGATTTAGACATTCAATTTGTAGCTTATATTTTAAAAAGAAGTTGCATCTGACAGCTACTTCAAGCATACGACACGTGTAATGGATTTGTGACAATCACCTTCAGATAGCTTCAATGTCACTTTTGCGCCGTTTGTAACATTTCTAATATATTTCTTAATGTGTAAAAAGTGCAATAGGGTAGCAAATGTAATAGGGGTTATCTTTCCAGATTCTTCCAAGAGGAATGGTAGAGGAGAGGGTTTTGTTCTCCGTCGGAATAGATGCTGCAGATGGAGTACGTGTTCCGTGTTGGTGTTCCGTGCCGGAGGCCTTCCACCTCCCACCATTGCGTAACATCTGTTATATTTCAGTGGTATGACCAGCTATGACTATATTAGATTAGCTTTGACCAGCTAAGACCAGATTAGACGAGCTTTGACCAGCTATGACCAGTTAAGACCAGAATTAGACGACCTTTGACCAGCTATGGCCAGTTAAGACCAGAATTAGACGAGCTTTGACCAGTTAAGACCAGAATTAGACGAGCTTTGATCAGCTATGACCAGTTAAGACCAGAATTAGACGAGTTTTGACCAGCTCTGACCAGGCAAGACCAGAATAGACGAGATTTGACCAGCTATGACCAGTTAAGACCAGCTTAGACAAGCTTTGATCAGCTATGATCAGCTTAAACTGGTTTTGTTGGATAGCTATGACCAGCTTAGACGAGATTTGACCAGTTTAGTTGAGCTTTGACCAGTTATAACCAATTAAGACCAGAATATATAATTTGACCAGATTAGACTTGCTTAGACGAGATTTGACAAGCTATGACCAGTTAAGACAAGCTTTAACCAGCTATGATCAGTAGAGGTGATTTGACCAGATATGATTAGCTAAGACCAGATTAGACAAGCTTAGGCGAGCTTTAACCAGCTATGACCAGCTTAGACAAGTTTTGACCAGCTATGACCAGCTAAAACGAGCTTAGGCGAGCTTTAACCAGCTTAGACGGGTTTTTACCAGCTATGACCAGTAAGACAAGCTTAGGCAAGCTTTAACTAGCTATGACCACTTTAGATCGAGTTTTGACCAGCTATGACCAGCTAAGGCGAGCTTAGACGAGTTTTGACCAGCTATGACCAGTTTAGATGAGATTTGACCAGATATGACTAGCTAAGACCAGCTTAGGCCAGCGGCCCGAGTGGAAACACTCGGGTCCCCACGTAAAAAACCGCCCTTGTGTTAAAACCTGCCTCAGTGATCAAGTAAATGTCGGATACCAAATGTAATAAAAAAATCGAAAGTCAGTTCTACATTCTGGACATTACTTCGCTTTGCCTACTGCAATTATAATACAAGTAATTTTTTTTATTCATTTTCCACTTCATTAATTTTATTTATTTTTGAAGAAAGACCGAACAATAAAAAAAATGTATAAAATATTACCAAATTTAGAAACATAAATTCAGTACATGTTCAGGAATTTTTCTGCATGAAACTATAAAAATGATTATTCATCGACGTCCAAGTGGACACAATGTATCGAAAGGTGGGCAAAATGACCAAAATATATTCCCGTAAAACCTACCGTAATTCCCCATGTATAATACGCATTTTTTTTCTAAAAAAATATTAATTAACATTAGGGGGTGCGTATTATGCACTGCTACAAAAAATCTTTAAAAAATTGCTGTTTCATAGGTCGATTTCAGTTGCGAAATGATTCCTCACCACAAACATACGACAATTTGACACTAACATTCGGCGATTGTGACCCTATAAGGATGTCAAATACAATCATATGTACCTAACAATACTTACAAATATAAAATAAAACAAGAATTAACATAAAAGTAAATTAGAATAATATTATTCTATGTCTTAAAATCTTTTTTTTAATCAGAGTGGGAAACGCTGGCCGTAATGAAATCGGCAAGGTACAATTTATAGGGTTTGATTAAAAAAACAAGGGTGCGTATTATACGTGAGTAGAAGCATTTTCCTACACTTTCAGCACAATTGTATAGGTGCGTATTATGGATGAAGGCGTATTATACATGGGGAATTACGGTATTCAATCTAAAAGTCTTTCATTAATGAAAATTTAATTTACATCGGATTTCACTTATTTTTGTAATTTTTTTTAAAAAACAAAGATGTTTGTTATTTACACTATTTTCATTTGGACTATGTTTATTATTCTTGTTCCTATCACAACGTTTCGGGCATTGTACCCTCCGGCCTTCATCAGGTGCATATCGATCCCATGTAACAGGTGGTAGCGATTATGTTGTTTTTATTTACAAAAAAAAAATTGCATGTATTTTGGTTGTAGCTTCATAATACAGACTGTTTAGATTATTTTTATTCTCATTTATTTATTTTTTTTTCATAAGATTTTAGTGGTAGCTGTAAGTATGGGTCGGTCGGTAAATAGTCGTTAAACGAATAGTGGCTGTAATCTGAAAGGTCGTAAAGTGAAAATGTGAATTCTTGCTTGATTATTTACTGCCGCATTTTGTATGAGGCACCGAGGGAGGATCGAACTCATTACTCAGTTGCAATAGTCAGCCAGAGGTAGCAATTTTCGGAAAAAAGATTCCATTTCCTCCTCTTCTTCTGTGCATCTTACCTCCGGTATTTCCTTGTGAGAGTCAAATTCTTCAATCCCTCTTTCCTTATTATGCGTCCTAGAAGTTCCAGCTGTTTTCTTCTGAATTTAGTTGACCCCATCGAGCAAGCGGAACTCAACTCACTAACAATGGCCATTGAGATTAAAACCTATGAATATAATCTCATGTCGACATTATCTAACAAGTATATCTGTTGATATTTACACAGCTTAACTTAGTATGACACAAAACAATACGTGAGAATCAAACTTACTAGAGTAACTGCAAGACTAACATGCTGAATATATATCCTTAACGGACATCGATTCATTACGTCTGCTATTACAGTAGTCCACCGCTATTAAGCAAACCAGTTTACCGCGGTATCCGGTATACCGCGGGTGGACCCAAAGATTTTGCTCTTCTACCCTCAATATAGCTCACTTTTTTTTAGAAATTCCACCTTATTTTATCAATTTCTGGGCCATCTTCTTCATGATAGACAGAACAAACAGCGATCATCAGATGGGTCCTAATTTGTTTTTAATAGTTACACCCTTTTTTTCACATGTTTTATCTTGATTTTGATAATCAAACAGTCCAAATTTTGCGAAATTTTAACATCTCGGCCGTTTCACACTTAATCCAATTTTATTGGTAATAATTACACATGATTACTTTATATTTCTATTTCGCGCGCGATCAAAGAGTTCCTATAATACCGGACTAATTAAGAGGAACTCTGTAGAATAACAATACAATAAACAACACTTACCGGCGTAAGAGTCCCAGCTAGCGTCCAGCTGGAAGACAAAAATAAAGCAAGTTGTAACTTAATACAAACCCTGCAAACTAACTGAGGAATCAAGCTGGTTTTTATATAGAAATACTTCCACTCAGGTACCAGCAGCCAATCACAGCCCAAGCAATGGACTATCCAACTTTAGCATAATGAGATGCTCCATTGCACCATAAATAGCTCTCTTTCTCAATGTTGAATTAGTATTCACTCAGCTTGCTCCACAACTGAGTGTTTATCTTGACCACGTGATTGTTCGACATGGCGCTGTTGAACAGGATAACTGCAATCAGATACCATGGATGGGGTATAAATAAGAGTACTTTTCTCTGGTTGACCATGTTCAATTTGACTGTCCAACAGTAGACATCAAGAATCTCTCATAAATAAACAAATATAACTAGCACGTAGTAATTAGGTGTCGAAATCGGCAATTTCCGGGAAATTACGACCCATAGTATTAATACAAAATGTCTAAATGTAAAGCGTACACAGTAAAGGAAAAACTCCAATTGATAGCTAGGATATGGGACGGTGAAACGAAAGCAAAGATCATGAGAGATAACTCCAAAACGGTAGATTTTAGGAAAATTTCTTTGTTATTTTTGAATTAGGCATGTAAATTTAGAATAAAAAAATAACTGTTCGGGAAATTTTTATTAGATTGTGACGTCGTACCCCGGTCGCAGCGCCAACTTTGACGTTCTATCCTGATCTACCACGGCGCCAGTTGTGACGTGGTCGTTCCAGGGTCCTATCCTGGTCACGGCACCAGTTGTGACGTGACGTGGCTGCCCCAGGTTCTGATCCTGGTCACGGCACCAATTGTAACGTCGTCCCCCGGTCGCAGCGACAACTGTGACGTTCTATTCTGATCTACCACGGCGCCAGTTGTGACGTGGTCGTTCCAGGGTCCTATCCCGGTCACGACACCAGATGTGACGTCCCTAAACAGCACCAATTGTGACGTCTTCGCCGCGGCGCCAGCTGTTCGCTCCTCGCTGCTCCGTCCGGGTGTCGCTGCTCCAAACGTGACGTTCTAACCCTTTGGTGATTCGGGTAGGAATCTGGTTAGATTTGATATCAGCCTCGCCGTTCCCAACCTGCTTCCAACGCCTGGTTACCAAGG